AAAGCCTTTTCTTTGTATCCCTAGTGCCTATAGTACCCAGCACATAGTAGGCATTTAATCGATGTTTTTTGAATAAGTGACTGTTGCTGGGGATACAAGTACAATAAATGCCCTATTTGAAAGGGGTCTAAATTCTAATGGAGGAAGCATATATTAAAATTTGTACAGCATAAATTAAAAGTTGATAAATACAAATATATATTAAATATTTTAAGAAGGACACTAATAGTTAAAGGAATTAAGAAAGGCTTCATGCAGAATATAATGCTTACACAGCAACTAAAAGGTAAAGGAGAACTTTATGAGGCAAGGGAAGGACACTATACATTCTAGGTAAATGGGATGACCAACACAAAAACACAGAGAAAGGAGATGGATTTACAGAGTACAGAAAGGGAGTAACAATCTAATGAGACTTGAATGATAGGTTAGGGCTGGGTTGTGGTATGCTTTAAAAGCTAAACAGAAGATTTTGTACTTCATCCTAAAGGCAATAAGAAGTCACTGAAGTTGAATGAGTAGGAGAGTCACATGGTCAGATCTGCATTTAAAGAAAATTACTTTAGCAGCAGTGTAGTATGAACTGGAGTGGGAAGAAACTTGAGGCACAGAGTCCAATTAGGAACTAGGCAAGAGATAAACAAAGCTTTAACTAAAGTGGCAATTCTGTAATTAGAGAGAAGGGGTAAGATTTAAGAGATGTAAAGAAAAAACAGAAAGATTTAGCAATTGATTTGATATGTAAGGTGAGGGAGAGGGAGAGGCCAGGCTAATGCCAATATTACAAACAATGAGCCCACAAAAGGGACTAAGAAGGAGTGATTAGGAAGATAGGGAGAGGAAGATGTCACAAAAACTTAGAGGACAGAATATACAATGCAGTGTGGTTAGCAATGTCAAATGCAGGAGACAGAGAGAGAAAAATATGGTCTGAGAAAACTTTATCAGATTTGGCAAATAAGAGATTATTAGTAACTTTGGAGAGAGCAGTTTTAGTTGAGTGATGAGATTAGAAGCCAGAAAGCTAAGCACTGAAGAGTGGGAGCAAAACAAGTTGAGACAGTGAGTACAGTTGTTGTTTTTCAATTAATTTGGCTATGAAAGTGAGGAGAGCTATAGGATCATATCTTGAGGGGATTGTGAGGTCTACGAAGCTTTTGTTTTATTTTTAAAGATGAGGAAGACTTAGGCACATCTGAAGGCAATGGGAAGGAACTAGTAGATAGAGAAAGGCTGAAGAAAGAGAAAGGAGGGATAAGGATGCACTCTACCGGAAAAAATGGTAGGAAATGGAATCAAATGCACATATAGAAGGGCTGGCCTTGGCAAGGAAAACGACCATCTCTTTTCAGAGACTGGGAGATCACTAGAGTAGAAGATATCCAGGGTTTTAAGATGAAGAGAATGGGCAAAGATGAAGTTCACATCTAATGCCCTCAATTTTTTCAGAAAAGAGATAAGACCCTAAAGAGAAAGGGAGCAGGGCTTATGTAGGAAAGATGAGATTTGAAATAGTTTCTATGGGAATTGAGACAAGGAATCAATTATGATGGAACCAAAGGAATACCTTGATACAATGAGAGTCCAGCTGAGGTTGCAATACGTGAATTTCTAAAATAGCAAATTGGCAAGGTTAACAGACCCATCAGCTACATTCAGTGGCTGAGGAGAGAAGGAATACTTCAGGATTAAGATTTGATAAGAGAAGAGCAGTAAGAGAACAAAGGAGCAAAGAATTTAAAATCTTCTATCCAAATCAGAAGGAGGAAAAGGAAATATATGCCTAAGATTTACATACCAAAGAGTTTTATTTAAAGTATGTTCTTCCAAGCTGCCAGGCAGCACAGTGCATTGGATGCTGGGCCTGGAGTCAGGAAGACCTGAGTTCAAATCCAGCTGGAGACCAGTCTCACACTAGCTATGTGACCCTGGGCAAGTCACTTAACCTCATCCTATCTCAGTTTCCTCAATTATAAAATAGGGATAGTAACAGCACTTACCTCCCAGGGTTGTCGTGAAGATCAAATATTATATTTCTAAAGTGCTTAGCACAGTGTCTGGTACATAGTAGGAGCTTAATAAATGCTTGTTTCCTCCTTTTCTTCCTTTATGTAGATGATAATGGAATAGTGTGTCCAGATCAGAGCAATGGTATATCAGCTCCAAGATACCTTCCCAGTTTTCTCTTTTGCATAAGAAAAGTCCCTCCTCTGACATGTATTAGAGATGCGCCCTCCTTTTGGAAATTTGGAACAGGCGCCAAGGGGAATATGACAGAAGGTCAATTAGGGAAGAATAAAGAAGATTACTGTATAGCAGTGAAGGCCTAGTTAAAACTATGTAATATAAATCTGTAACTAGCGAGCATGATGGCAAGATTTCTTACAGCAACACAGAAAAGACAGGGTGGAATACTGAAAAAAAGATTTGACTCTGTACTTAAGAGGAAACTCCTCATAATTACTAGATCTATTTGATCTTTTAGAAAGTCACTTAATTTCCTTGGGCCTCTTAATCTCAGGCCGAGTTCTGAGTTTCTTCATCTGTAAAATAAGGACGGTGGACTATAATAACACGTGTAGCTCTAAATTTATAAGCCCATGAGTATAAGAAGAATTAGGTAGTAGAAATAATGAAATATTGAGGGCTAAAAAGGCAACGTGCAGCAGAAAGACAAGGAAGCAAGGCAATCAAAAGTGGATGATAATGCATAACTGAACTGATTAACGACAGAGTAAAAGATTATAAAGGGAGGGACCTACAGGGGTGATAGACTAAATACAGAGGAAAAGACAATGAGTACCTCGTGATTGTAGCAAGGGGAAAGAATAGGTTTAGGAAGTATGGGAAAGAGAGAAAGATGGAAAGACAGGATATTATAATCAGAAAGATCATGGAGAACATGGGAAGTGCTGCCGGACTAGAGAAGGGTAAATGATCTAATTTTTTTTTATCAGAAATAAACTGTTTTTTTCCAGAGGGCAGAACCAGGCCAAATGGGTAGAAATTACAAATATTGAAATTTGGGTATGATTTCAGGAAAAATTTCCTAACAAATGGGCTGTCCAAAAGAGGTACAGACTACCTTTAGTGGGTAGTCTATAGTGATAGGGAACTTACCACTAAATGTCTTCAAGCATAGGCCAGTAAACTTGATCTGGATTCCTAGCAAAATTCTATAACATATTATTAAACAGGAACTTAGTAACCATTTACAAAGGGAAGCAATAATCTCCAAAGGCCAGCATGACTTCACAAAGAACAAGTCATATCACACTAATTTAATGTCTTTTTATAATTATATAGATTTGGAACTGGCAAAATGGCTAAAGTAGACATTAATCATTCTATGTTAATTAGGAAAAAGGTGTTTAGTAGAGCATCTCTTCTACTTAATATTTTTATCAATGACTTACATAAAGATATAAGTGGAAAGCTTATCAAATTTGCAGATGACACAAAACTAGGAGAAATAGCTAACACAGTGAATGAGAGGGAGGATCCAAAAAAATCTTGAGGGTCTCTTGGAATACTGTGAGAAATGTAGTAAGATGAAATTAATTAGGAATGAAAGTCCTATACTCAAGTTCAAAAGTCAACTTTTCAAATATAAAGTGGAGAGTCATATGACTAGATAAGAGTGCATCTAAAAGATCTCGGCATTTAATAGATGGTTAACTTAATATAAGTTAAACACATGATCTAAGACTGAATGAAGAAAAGTATAATACTCAGAACTAAGGAAGTTGATAGATTCAATATAGTGATCATTGTTTAGATGTCATATGGAGATAACATATTCAATTCTAAGTATCACATTTTAGGGAAGACATAAATAAGCTTGTAAATATCCAGAGGACAATCAGGACAGTAAAAGGCCTTGTTGGGAGCATGCCATTTGATAAATCAGTTAAACAAACTGGAGATATTTAATTTGGAGAAGTAGCTTCAAGTGGTCTCCCTACTGGTGGTATATTCAGGGTGCTTCAAAGGAAGATGAACTGTTACAGTATAATGTAAATGTGAGTTATTAATCAATCCTTCACCACTGTTCCTGTGAATTATTATTGCCCTTACCCATTCTACCTAAGCATATATACCAGCTCCTAAAATTTCTTCCTTCCATTCCTAGCTATTCTATACATCATCTCCTCTTGCTCTCTTTCCCATTCCTCTACCCCCTCCTCTTTCTTCTCTGTCTTAACCCTACCGAGTGGTCTTATTTCCTCCTTCCCTCTAACTTAATCACCAAAAGTTCCCCAGCTTTTCCCTTCCCCTCTGGCTCCTTGTCTCAAGTTTATTTCCCTTTCTCTTTATACTGCTAGACCCAAGCTTAGTTGTTGGCTTTGGCTTGGTCTCAGATGTAATAAGTAAGAAAAGAGAGAACTAGTCTCTTCTTATTCCTATTTTACACAGGTCCTGTCCTCTTCCCCCATTGTTATGCCACACACATATTCATCAATCATTTCATTTCAGGAATTATAATAATCGTTTTGCACAATCCAGCTCTAGGGCTTACCACATTGTCAGGAAGTACTCTGGCACTAAATATTGAGTATAGTCAGCTCAGGCTTCATAGAGTGCAGGAGGATACAGGCCGAAAAGGAAGAAGCACAGTCATCAGATGATGCTTCTCACCAATATCTCTCTTGCCAGAATTTCTTTCTACTGTTCCCTTACCAACAAGGAATTCAAGAGATAAGGGGAAGAGAGGGATTTGAACACAGATACAAGCACCAGTGGGAAGATGACAAAATGGGTGCCATGTTAGGGACAGTTATGATGCTAAAAAGAGGCAAAGAGAAATGCAGAAACAACCAGCACACATCCTAGAAGTTGCATAGAGAAGGGAAAAGGTATCACAGAAGGAAAAAGGGGTCACATGTTAGGAAAAGTGGATAGTGGTTGACAGGGCCTAAGAACTGCCAGTTATAACTTTGTTCACCAGACCCTCCTACTTCAAAAATGTGAAATAAAAATTAAAATTCAATCAACTTCACCTTTCCTGCTGAAGAGATTACGAAAGGTACCACAAAGGTAGGAACTTCCACCACTGTGCATGTCAACATGGAGCTGATAACCATGTAGTCCATATTGTTGGTCAATGTCATCCAGAAAAGGAATGTGAGGCGGCAGCATATAAGGGCTTTAAAAAAAAAATACACACGAACATGTAACTCAACAAACAATACCAAAAGTCAAACACAAAGGTCACTTTGGGCCCTGAAGATTTAGGATTGTATAATTTTATTTTTTAAAAAACACATACATACCCCATCACTGTCACCACTACTGTAAAAAGACAACAAGATTCCCAATAATTCTCAACATTACATAACCCATGAGGTTTAAACTGACATAGCCTTTGTTAACTCCTATAAAATGTTCATTTCTCCAAACCAATGCAGGATATCAGTTCTGTGGGCAACTAGAAGACATAAAATATGCATGGGTAAACCCCACCCAGGGTGAATACATTTGATCCATGGTGTTTAGAAATATACTCCCAGGACTCTTGACTATCCAAATGCAACTCTATCCCTTTCTTAGCATTCTAATCAGCAATAAAAGAACACCTTCAGGCAGAAAAACGTGCCAAAGGTAACTTATTTCTTAAAGCTAGGTAAAAAGATTGCAACTCAGAAAGATTAAGTTCTATTCAATAAAGGGGATAAATCACAAATCTTTTCTGAGAAAGAAAACAAGAATTCTCTCAGTAAGGGGGGCTTGAAAAGCAATGACTTCTTGCTATAATGGAAGTTGTTTCCCCTTAATCATCCATAATCATGACACATTTTTTAGCCCCTAACAAATAAAGGAAATGTGCTCATGAATAATCCAGAAACTTCAGCAGCAACATGCCACTGGGCTATGCCAATTGTTTGAAGATCTTTGTAATGATCCTTAGCATAAGTTGATTTGAAATTCTGATTCTCTTTCACATTTACTCTACAAAACGTGAAAAACAAGAATTCAGTACGTACACAGTGGCTGAGCCTAAAGTGCTTCTCTCCACCAGTAGATGAAAATGAAGATTCGCCATAACAAAAGCCATTTCCTTCTCTTTCTGGAAAGTTAATTACAAAGAACACATTTTTCACCCAGACTACTTTAATTTTTTATGAGGTCTTCTTAAAGAAAATGGCACACAAATCTTGCCAATAAATGCTGCTACAAGATTGGTACAATGCTAGTATATTATTACTGCTAATATAGAATTACTATTTAATAAGACTTATACATTATACTAACAGACAGGACAGCCACAATTCACACAAACACTGTATTACAAGTGATACCCATGAAGATTTAACCTACAGCATCCTGGAACTTATGGAAGGAACAAGATAATAGAGATATAAATAAATAGATAGACAGACAGATAGATAACACATATATGAGATAACACTGAAAATATTTATGGCTTTTTCCAAAAAAAGTTTAATTAGTATTCTTTACAAATAGAAAAGAAAGTTAAAAATAATCCAACTTTAACATAAACAGTTAATTTCACCAGTAATCATCATTGTTAACACTGTAATTAGATAGTTAAAAAGTTTAACTCTTAGCATTCTCATCCACTCTCATGGTTTCAATTATTACCTCCATGCAGATGATTCCCATGACTATGTAACCAACCCTAAACTCTCCCATAAGTTCTACTACTACATTTCCAACTGCATGATAGATACTTCTACTTGAATATTAAACCAGAGTTTCAAACACAATCTGTGTTTTCCCCTCCAAAAAAACTTTCTCCTCCCAACTTCCTGCTTCTGTTAATGACAGAACTAATATCCAAGTCACCCAGGCTCAAAAACCTTGATATCTTTACTCCTGCCCCTCCCCTTTTCCCAATATATAATCAGTTGCCAATTCCTGACAATTCTACTTCCATTAACATCTCTTGGATTCATCCACCCCTATCCACTCACACTGCAACCATCCTAAATTCTGAGCCTCATTACATTTGTTTCAGAATAGTTTTAAAAGCCTAGTCTTACTGCTTCTTGTCCCTTATGCTTTCCAATATATCCTAAACGTTGCTGCCAAAATAACCTACCACTGCTCAGAAATTAAATTCAAGGTTTTCTGCAGTCGCTAGACTCCAATCTATATTTGCAATTTTCCCTTCACACTATTCTTCCTTTTGCCCTCTGAATTTAAGTCCAACTGGACTACTAATGGCTTCCCAATCTCTTCCTGTCTTTTCCTCACCTCTGAATAGTTGCACAAACCCCATAACCTGTAGGTACTCCAGCCATCTCTCAATCTACTGAAATCCTTCTCTTCCTTCAAAGTTCAATTCTTCTGACATTCCTTCAATTAAGCCTTTCTCAATTCTTCCAGCTCAGTGATTTCTCCTTCCTCAAATTTCTCATAGTATTTATATGGAACTGCTCTTCGCTCTTATCGCATTCTATTTTGTAATATATTTACTTCTGTACATGTTTCGTCCCTACCTTCCTACTCCAGCATTAGTCTGCAAATTCCTTGAAAACCAGGACTATGCTATATCTCCAGGACCTAGTACAGTACCTTATATATGGTAGCCCCTTAATAAATATCTGGAGAATTTAACTAAATTTCCTACAAGTCATCTTCTACAGAATAACCTGAAGGATACTAAACAAAAGACAAAAAAAAAAAAGAGAGACAGAGATCAAGTCATTTAAATCCACAGAACAAGGGGAAAAAATAAAGACAAAATGGGTACAAGAGGGAAGGAGTAATAAAAACCACAGGAGACATGATTCTCTACTTCCCCCATCCCCACCATTCCTTTTATAGACTATTCCCAGAATGAAAATGGTGGTATAGAATCCTAAACTCCTGTGGTTTACCTTACCAACCACTTATTCAGACTTGCAAAGGTTTGACCTAAATATGAAAACGTAAGACTATACTTCTTTTACCCAGAGAATCCAACTCTGTAAAGAGACCTAGCTATCAACTAGCTCCACTGAAAAACAAGAAACTGACCTAACAAGGGAAGGGCAAATGGTTAAATTCTCTTCTAAAATGGTAAATTATGTTCAATGTCCTATCTGGTTAATCAACCACATTCACTGAGAGCTATGAAAAGCACCACAATAGGCTCTATGGGTGAGTAAGCAGAGGAAGAGTATAAAAGAAGCAAAAGACATGGTCCTGAGCCTCATAAAACTTGAAATCTAGATGGAACACACATAGATAAAACAACAAAAGAGATCACGAACTAAGCAACATATCAATAGGTGCAATATAGAGTAACGGAGTGAATAGGTGCTGAATAAGTAACTAACTGGAGAAGTTAATAGGTAAGAAGTGATAATCATGCAAGTTTCCTAATAGAAGTGAGTTCTCATCAAGTTTTTAAGGAAAGGTTGGAGGGTGTGGGGGAAGGAGTGCATCTGAGGCAATGATAAGGATATACTAAATAAAGCAAGTCTCAGGGTGGTGTAGGAGAAATGGCAGAACATTAGTTTGGATGGAGTAGAAATCTACACAGAGTAATCTGTACACAAAATAAGTTGGTAAGATAATGAACAAAAGGAGTACAGATGGTAGCAAACCTTAAATACCAAGGTAAGTAGTTTGGATTTGATATGAGTAAATGTGAAATCCTAATCGGGATTAGGGGAGTCAGAGAAGTGACATGATAACAACAGTGTTTCACTAAAATTATCTTAGTAGTTGTATGCAAAATGGTTTAGAAAGGGAATGATGAGAGGCAGAGAAATCAACCAGGGAGCCAGCATATTTATCCATCAATAAAAGGTGATGGATAGTAATGACTTTTGATGGAAAGTAATGACTGTAGAACTGAAAAGGAAGAAAATCCAAAAGACATTGTAAAGAAGGAATCAGCAGGGCTTAGTGATACATGAGTGTTAAGGGACAAAGGAAAAGTAAAGAGACAAAAATGTATTGATTCTAAGGAGTCAAGGGAAATAGTAGTGTTATATCTGTTAAAAAAGAAGATAAAACATTCTCAACATGTTAATTTCAGGTGTCAGTGTTTTTTGATGTCTGATGACAACTAGAAACATAAAGACTGAAGGAGTCAGAGGTCCACAACTAAAAATGTGGACTTGTTAATCATTCGTATGTGGTTAATAGTTAAATAAAACCTTGAGAATACAGGAAAATTCATTACACAGCAGTGAATACAGGTTCTGATAATATAAGCCTCATAAAGCCTAATATTGACCTGTTATAAGTAGTAAATGCATACCAATGTTTTCACACAGAGGTAAACAGAACTCCACTATACAAAAAGGACTCCATTCTTACCTTCCATAGACCAACTAGAAGCCCTGGGTTTAGGCAGAACGTCCGAATAAGTCTGTCAGAGCCAATCGAAGTGGATTTAGTTAGGTTAGTCAGATTGTACTCAGCAACTAAGGAACGCCTTCGAGGTCTTTGAACATCAAATGCCAAACCGAGGAAAGAAAGAAGTGAGTTTTAGTATTATCAAAGTTGTTAATTATCACATCTAAGAATATCAATTAAGAAGATATTAAAAATCTACTTTTGCAATTGGTGACAACATTGAGGAGGAAAAAAAAGCTAACTTTTGTAGAGAAATAGGAAAATATCAGCCCTCAATTTCATTTTCACTTCTCATTCAAATTGAATTCCCATTACTCTCTCTGCAATTCAAAGCCCCAGTCAAAAAGATAACAAGGGAGACAAAATTAGCTTCTCTCTTTCCTTTAATACCTACTACACAGTGCTTTAGTCACAAAGAACACTCCATAAATGATGCTGACCAAGTGGAGGAAAAATAATAAATCTAAGATGATTTAAAAGTCATGTGTAGAAACTGAAATATAACTCACATTTATACAACACTTTAAAATTAACAAAAGGTTTTTCTTGGATACCCCTAGTCCAAGGATTATCCACATTTTACAGATGAGGAAACTGAGACTCAGTAATGTTAACTGACTTGCCCAGGATAACACCTCTTAAGGTGAGAGCCAGAATTTCAAACCATATTCCTCTTGTCCATCATTTGTTGCACTATATCATTTTGTTCTTCAATAAAACAAACAACTGGCTATCTGAAAAAATCAGACTACTGTTAGACTAAAAAAGCCTTCTAAATTCATTACTAGTACAGAATTTACAAATGTTGACTTGGTAACACTCAAAACAAATTACAAAACAAAATCTGTTTTTAATATTTTCATGTAAGCAGACATTATGGAAATTTTCTTTTGAATGACTGGGAGTAAATTACAAATAACATAAAAGTAGAAATTTTGACCAAGTAAATCAAATAACATTAGCCAGTTTTTAAAATCAACTTTAACAATAAAATATATTGTAAACAGTATAATAATCACCTAGGACTCTCCTCATCCTTAGCAACCAAGAGAACATTTTCAAAAAGATTTCTTCTAAATATTGGTTTGGACATTAGTTCAGGGGCCAATTCTAAAGGCTTTACTAACATGCTATATAGCTAACCCCTATGTAGAATCTCTATAGGAAAAAGGTGACTGAAAATTCTCCACTAAAGCATCAAGACATTTTGGTACATTGTGGAATATAGTGGAAAGATCACTGGACTCAGAATTAGGTGACCTGGATTGGTATCCTGGCTCTGGCATTTAATAACTTTATGACTACAGGCAAATAGTTTAGCCTCTCAGAGCCTTGGTTTGTTCATCCATAAAATTAAGACTTCGTGCTATATTATGTATTATGTAAACATTAAAATGCTTCACAAACGTGAGATACAATTATACCTTCATGAACTTGGTCAAGTAACTAAGCTAGTTTCTTCATACATAAAATGATAAGACTATATGACCTCTTATTGTCCCTTTCTAAACCTAAACCTATAATCCCACTATCATGCACATTAAAAACATATCCTTTTAATGTGCTTTCCCGAATTTGGTGCTACATAGCTCCCTCTCTACTTCATAAAACTCTACCCACAAATTATCATTATCAATTATTACTATTATTATTAATAGCTCAGATTTATAGTTTTTTTATCTTTTAGCAGAACTGGCCTGCTCTCATTTCCATGCATTTATTTATATAGTTCCCTATGCCTTGAATGTCATTCATACTTGCTCAATTCTTACCCCTCCTTTAAAGTGTAATTCAAAAGCTGCATCCTCTAGGAAGCCTTACTTTATCCTCCCTCCCCAGAATAAAACATATTATTTCATTCTGTACTTATGTGTTAGTCATATTTCTCTAGCAAACAATCTTGATTCATATAAAATTTTCTCACCCAAACCCTAGGACAGAACACAGCAGGTACATAATAAATGTTAATTTCATTTTATTGTGTTCCATTGTACTAGACCAGGGTTGGGGAACCTGCGGCCTTGCCTTCTAGGTACTTGGGTGCAGCCAAGTTTTCCAGAACAAATCTTTTTATTAAGGGAATTTGTTCTGTGAAGTTTGGATTCAGCCAAAGGGCCACACTTGAGAACCTGGAGGGCCACATGAAGCCTCAAGGCCACAGGTTCCCCACCCCTGTGACCTAGACTACCTGATTCCTTCTTAATTTTTCTAAGTGACAGGGTAATCTAGACAGGGCAAGAAATCAATTACTCTAATGCTGCCCAGACATTTCTATACCTGTTAATTCATCAAGAGAATACATGATATGATTATGGGGAGGCAAGGAAGAAAGTCCTTAGGGTACAAGATTCAGAGGGATTAAAAAAGTTTGTATAATTTCCATAACCCATAGGTATTTGTTTTGTCTTAATTTGCATTTGTTTCAATGAAGGCTAAAGCCCTCAGGAGGAAACATAAAGGAGGGAGCAATTTTCGAATCTTGCCTAGAGCTCTGATTAGGAACACACGAACCCGCCTACACACGGTTAATCTGGTAGATGACCACATGAATGTGGATAGTAATTCCTAACCTGGTACAAAATTTACATGCCCTGGAATGGAAAAGATTGGGGAATTTAGGAAAATAAAGCTTTGCCCATCGAAAGAAACACTATTTAATTAGCCCTATCGCCACAACCAGCAATGGGCACATTTAACCAAGCATTTCCCATAAATTTGGGGCAACATAAGGCAAAGTATTCAAGCTTCATACATTAGTGATTTAGGAAAATTCATGAGTCTGAGGAGAAATTCAAATCATGCCAAATAGGAGTTTTGATTTACCTATCCTCAAGTGACTATAAGGTAAGAAAAGGGGGGAGGCCACAATAGTTTCTCCTTTCCTATCATGCTAATCGATAACAGTATTCCTACTCCTTCTTAATGAAAACATTTACATATATAAATACACACACACACGCAATAAAAAGTCTACTGAAACAAATTTGTGAAAAATGTTTTTATTGTATGTTTACCCACAATTTATCAAGTACTAGCTAAAGCCCATTGAGAGTCAATGAGAATAAATTACAGCTAATGAGTTTCTCCAATAATTTCTAGCATTTGTCATTATCTAATATCTATCATCACAGATATTATGACAATTTTGAGACATGCAACGGCATTCACCTAACTTAAGTGAGATTGTCATTCATTCATTTAATTAATGTCTGTACTTTTGATCTAAAGATTGTAAACAATATGCTACATGTTGTCAAGTGATATAGCATTTGCTGAATCTAAGAAAATGATCCAGAATGCACTCTCCAGAAATGGATACACACTATATAAAGCTACATGCTTTGCTAAAAGGCTAATTGCATTAGGCATGACATTAAAAGGGGTAACATAAAGTGCCCACTCAAACAAAAACACTTCCAAAAATATACTTCAAGTCTTCGTTTAAAAAAAAAAGTTTTCTTGTCTACTTCAGGAAGGAGATATATAGATATATCTATATCTATATCTATGTGGACATATAGAGAAAAAGAACAATTTATCCAAAAGTACCCAGCACCATAACAAACTCTCAAATCATTCAGAACAAAAACCAGTACCACTACTTATTAAGCATCTATTATATGCCAAGTGCCATGGCTAGGCTGTGGAACAAAACAAAATTAGAAGTCTCATTTAAGACTATATTTATAAAAATGTAATCCCATGCTTTAGTGGTCACATTATAAAAGCCCACAAATAACAATATTTCCCCAACAAAATCATAATGGTACAATGTTCTCTATTTTCTAAAGAAAGAATGCCATGTAACTAAAAAAATTATAATGATGCCAAAATTTGGAAGAAGAAAAAAAAAGTTTTGAAGGCTTCTAAAAAGCCAAAGGATAGTGATAGTCAATATGAAGACTTACTGAGGTTTAAAATAACTTACTACCACATAATCAAATTTAGAGTTGGAAGTGATCTTAGAAAATATAAGACATCAAATAAATAATTAATTTTGGAGGAATACATACAGTGAATCACTGGCCTTGGATTCAAGTAGAACTGGGTTCAAACCTCATGAGACACTTACTAACTTTGTGACCCTGGGTAAGTCTTTTAACCTCTCAGCCTTAGTTTCTTCAGCTGTATAATGGAGATACCACCTATCACACAGGACTGTTATGAGCATCAAATGAGGTAATATATGTAAAGTGCTTTGTAAGACCTTAAAGTACTATATAAATTTTATTTATCTTTATTATCATTGTTTTTAAAGAATCAGAATAATCAAGTAGATATTGATGCGACCACAGAATCTCCAAGACCCAGACCCAAATCCCACTTTGACTTTGGGTACACAGATATGTGACACTGGACTGCTCACTTAACTTTTCAATGCCGTAAGCAACTGTGAAACCACAAGCTGTAGAGAAGATACAAATCTGTATTGGTAGAGGCAGTTTTCTCATCTATGAGTTCTCCACAGCCAAGAGATCAAAGGTCCATCATTATTAGATAAATAATCATGTGGATTGAGAGATGAAGCAGCTACATACTTCATATTCAACTTTTATAAGAGCCAAAATAACAAAAAAAAGTCGATAGATTTTATTCAACCTATCATTTGCTTTGATCAAATTATAGGGTCAATGAAGTCAATGTACCACATGATCTACAACAAAATATAACAATTTCTAATCATTAAGTAATTATGATTACTTATATCACAATTACAGTTATGATTATAATTACAAATCATTAAGTAAAAGTTAAGTTGTATTTGTTAAACTTTAAGGAAGGAAGAACATAAGCACTAATCGAGCACCTACCATGTGCCAGGACCTAAGTACTTTATAACTATTCTTATTTGATCCTCAAAAATAACCCTGGGAAGTATGTGCTATTATTATCCTCATTTCACAATTGAGGGACCTGAGGCAGCAGAGGTTAATTCATTTGCCCAGGGTCACACAGTTATTAAGTATATGAGGCCAAATTTGAATTCAGGTCTTCCTGAATCCAGGCCCAGCATTCTACCCACTGTTCCACCTAGCACAGCTTCTTAGAGCAGGATAGAATGTAGTATAGATTCCCATACAAAGCACAGAATAAAAAAGCTTAAAGATTAATCCTCAGTTGTCAAAAAAATTCCATTATCTAGAATATACCAGCCTAACATTTTAGACAACTGAGGTATTAATATACATAAATATAAAATAACACCTTTTATTTCTATTCTAGCAGTGATCAAGCAGTAAGTCAAGAGAGTGAGTTTTCAGATAGAATCTTTAATTATACTTCAGGGTTAAAAAACTCAATGTCAACCAACTACTATTAACAAATTTTTCTATTCTAACAATAACAAATCTGGATGAAACTCACCCATTTTTGGTGGGGACCTTATAGCGGTCCAAAAAAACTGGTGTTACACCACATAAGTCTAGTGTTGCCAGCTTGTCTATACGTGGCCAATTATTCCCATGCCACACAACTGTAACAGATGTGTCATTCACAGAAAACTCAGCCTGCTCCATGATGTACTCTTTCCCATTTTTCTCCTTCAATACAATCACCCAACTCAATCCAGATACTCTATTTGGGGAAAAAAATGGGGTTAAAGAGCTTGAATTTATCTTTTAAGAAGATATAAATGTTGCACTGTGGAGTTCAAACAGATAACTTTAAAGGAGCTAATTAGATTCTATAAACGTGCACCAGATTTAAAGATCTTGTTTCTTTTTTTCAATTATTTTTTTTCCTCAATAACACGTAAAAAAATTTAACATTTTTTTTAAATTCTGAGTTTCAAATTTTCTCCCTCCCACTCTCTCCATTCCCCTCAAAACAGCAAGTAATTTGATAAAGATTACACATATGCAGCCATGCAAACCATCTTTTCATATTAGCCATGTTGTCAAAAAAAAAAGGAAGTTAAAAAAGTATGCTTCAATCTGCATTTAGACTCCCCATTAGTTCTTTCTCTGGAAGTAGACTGCATTTTTCAACAGGAGTCCTTCAAGACTGTCCTGGGTCACTGTACTGCTGAGAACAGCTAAGTCATTCCAGTTAATCATCATACAGTATTGCTGTTACTGCATACAATGTTTTTCTAGTTCTGTTCACTTCACTACATATCAGTTCATGTAAGTCTTCCCAGGTTTTTCTGAAACCAACCTGTTCTTTATTTCATACAGCACAACAGTATTCAATCACAATCATACAATACAACTTGATCAGCTATTCCCCAAATGGTGGGCATCCCCTCAATTTCCAACTCTTTACTACCACAAAAAGAGTTTCTATAATTACTTTTGTACAAATAGGTTCTTTTTCTTTGATCTCTTTGGGGTATGGACTAGTAGTGTTGCTTAGTCAAAGGGTATGAGGGGATGCACAGCTTTATAACCCTTTGGACATAGTTTTAAATTGTTCTCTAGAATGGCTGGATCAGTTCACAACTCTACCAACAGCACATTAGTGTCCTAATTTTTCAACATCCCCTTCAATATGTGTCATTTTCCTTTTTGTCATATTAGCCGATCTGATAACTGTGAGATGGTACCTAGAAATTCTTTTAACCTCTAATCAATAACGCCAGACTATTTCTTCATAAGATTATACCTTTCAATTATGTTCACAGAGTTCCTGGATATACTCCAGAGTATTTCATATTGTCCGTGGTTATTTTAATCAAACTATATCTTACTATCTCTTTCTTCTAGTAGGGTTTTGTTAGTGATACATAGAAATGCTGATGATTTATGTGGGCTTATTTTACGTAATAATACTTCGCTAAAATTACTGTTTCAATTACCTTTTTAGTTGAATCTCTAGGATTTTCCAAGTATTGTCTGCAAAGAGAGAGTTTTATTATCTCATTGCCCATTCTGATTCCTTCAATTTCCTTTTCGTCTAATTGCTATAGTTAGCATTTCTAAAATGATACTATGTAATACCATATAATACTGGAGATAATGAGCATCCTTGTTTCACTCCTGATTTTACTGAGAAAGCTTCAAATTTATTTCCATTACAAATAATGTTTGCTGATGGTTTTAGGTTGATGCTTTTTATCATTTTAAGGAAAAATACATTTATACATATGCTTTCAAGTGTTGCATTTTGTCAAAAAGCTTTTTCTGTATCTATTAATATAATCATAACCTTGTGTAACTGACATGATCAATTACATTAATAGTTTTCCTCATATTGAGCCAGCATGCATTCCTGATATAAAACCTACTTGGTCATAATGTATAATCTTTATAATATATTATTGTTTCCTGGCTAATATTTTATTTAGAATTTTTTGCATCCATATTTATTAGTGAAATTGGTCTATAATTTCCTGTTTTTCCTCTTCCTGGATTAGGTATCAGCACTGTATTTGTTTCATAAAAAGAGTTTGGCAGGACTCCTTTGTTGCCTATTATTCCAAATTATTTAACATTGAAATTAGTTGATCTTTAAATGCTTAGCAGAATTCACTTGTAAATCCATCTGGTTCTGATGCTTTTTTCTTAGGCAGCACTATAGCTTGATTTCGTCTTCTAAAATAAATGTATTTAGATATTCTATTTCAACCCTTCTGTTAATTTGGTCAGTTTATGTTTTTACAAGTATTCTCCCATTTCACTTAAATTATTAAATTTATTGGCATATAATTGGACTAAATAACTCTTAATAATTGCTTTAATTTCATCTTCACTGGTGGTGAATTCAGCCTTTTCATTTTTGATACTAGTGATTTGATTTTCTTCTCTTTTTAAAATCATGTTAATCAATGGTTTATCTATTTTATAATTTCATTACTGTTTTTTATTTCAATTTTATTAACTTCTCTTTTGATTTTCAGGATTTCCTATTTGGCGTTTAATTGGGGATTTTTAATTTGTTCTTTTCCTGGTTTTTCAGTTGCATACCCAATTCACTGATCTGCTTCTCTATTTTACTGATGTAAGCATTTAGAGTTACCAATTTTCCCCTCAGTACTGCTTTGTCTGCATATCATAATTTTTAGTATACTGTCTCACTGTCATTCTCTTTAGTGAAATTATTGTTTCCATGATTTGTTCTTTGACCCACGCATTCTTCAGAATTAGAATACTTAGTTGCCAATTAATTTTAATCTGTTTCCATGGCCCTTTATTGAATATGATTTTTATTGCACTGTGGTCTTAAAAGAATGCATTTAACATTTCTTTTTTTTTCCTGCATTTGGTTGTGAAGTTTTTATACCGCAATACATATATTCTTTTTGTAAAGGTACAGCTGGAAAAAAAAGTATACTCCTTTCTATTCCCATTCAATTTTCTCCAGAGGTCTATATATTTAACTTTTCTAAAATTCTATTCATCTTCCTTAATTTCTTTATTTTATGGTTAGATAGTTATGAGAGAGGAAAGCTGATGCCCTCCACTAGTATGGCTTTACTATCTATTTACTCATCTAACTCATTTAACTTTTCTTTTTAAAATGAAGATGCTATACCATTTGATGCATGTGACTAGCATTGGCATTATTTCATTATCTTACAGTATCTTTTACCAAAATGTAGTTTTCCCTGCTCTTTTAATTCAATATATTTTTGCTTTGCCTCAGATCATGATTGCAATCTTCTGTTTTGTTTTGGTTTTTAAACTTTTTTTAAACCTCAGCTGAAACATAACAGATTCTGCTCTGGCTCCTATTTACACTGTGTCTCTCTGTTTAGAGTGTGTTTCTTGTAAACAGCATATTGTTGGATTCTGGTTTTTAATACCTTCTGACATCTGTTTCCATTTTATAGGTTAGTTCATCCCATTCACTGCTATGATTACTAAACTCTGTATTTCCCTCCATCCTATTTTCCTTGTTTATTTTTCCCTCTTTTTACTCTGTTCCTCCTTAAATGTCTATTTTGCTTCTAATCACTGCCTCCTTCAATCTGCCCCTCCCTTCTATCAGCTCTCCCTCTTCTTTTATTCCTTTCCCCTCCTACTTCGCTATTGGGTAAGATAGATTTTTATACCCAATTTTGTATGTTATTCCTTCTTTAAGCCAATTCTGATGAATAAAGTTCAAGCATTTTCTGCCACCACCACCACCCCATCTTCTCCTCCACTATAAAAGCTCTTCCTTTCATATCTCTTTTATGTGAGATAACTTTCCCCATTCTACCTCTCTTCTCTTTCTCCCAGTGCATCCATCTTTCTCACCCCCTAATTTTATTTTTTTTGGAAATCATCCCATCATAATCATCTCACATCCATCCCCTCTGTCTATATATACTCTTTCTAATTGCCCTAATAATGAGAAAGTTCTTAAGAATTATATGTCTCCTCTTTCCATGTAGGAATGCAAAAAATCTGATTGAATCCCTTATGATTTCTCTTTCATGTTTATCATTTTATGCTTCTCTCAAGCCTTATATGTGAAAGTCAATTTTTCTATTCAGTGCTGGTCTTTTCATGAGGAATGCTTGAATGTGTGAAAGTCTTCTATTTCATTTAATACCCATGTTTCCTCCTGAAGGATTATAGTGAGTTTTGTTGGGTAAGTAATCCTTGGTTGTAATCCTAGCTTCTTTGCCTTCCAGAATATCATATTCTAAGCTCTCTCACCGTTTAATATAGAAGCTGCTAAATCTTGTGTTATCCTGACTATGGTTCCACAATATTTGAACTGTTTCTTTCTGACTACTTACAATATTTTCTCCTTGATCTAGGAGCTCTAGAACTTGTGTATAATCTTCCTGGAAGTTTTCATTTTGGGATCTCTTTCAGGAAGTGATCAATAGATTCTTTCAATTTCTATTTTTATTTTCTAGTTTCAGGATATCAGGGCAGCTTTCCTTGGTGATTTCTTGAAATATGACATCTAGATCCTTTTTTAAATTATGGCTTTCAAGTAATCCAATAATTCTTAAATTTTCTCTCTTTGATCTGTTTTCCAGATCGCTTGTTTTGCCAATGAGATATTTCTAATTTTTTTCTATATTTCTAATTTTTTTCTATTTTTCTCATTCTTTTGATTTTGTTTTATTGTTTCTTGATGTCTGGAATCATTAACTTCCACTTGCCACTTGTAATTTTTAACAGAATTATTTTCTTCAGTGAGCTTTTGAAACTCTTTTTCCATTTGGTCCAATTCTATTTTTTAAGGAGTTCTCTTCAGTGGATTTTTGTACTTCTTTTACTGATTGAACAATTCTTTTTGTGTGTGTGCCTTTTACCAAGCTGTTAATTCTCTTTTCATAATTTTCTAGCAACACTCTCATTTCTTTTCTCATCTTTTCTTCTACCTCACTGATTTTTAAAATCCATTTGGTGCTCTTCCAGAAATTCTTCTTGGGCTTGTGTCCAATTCATATTTTTCTTTTAGAATTTGCTTGTACCTGTTTTTACATCTTGTCTTTTGAATTTGTGTCTTGTTCTTTCTAGTCCTCAATGTAACTTTTTGTGGTCAGGTTCTTTCTTGTTGTTTGCTTATTTTTCCAGCCTATTTTGACTTTTAACTTTATGTTAAAGTTAGATCTCTAATCTGTCCCCCAATCTTCAGGTTTTTCATGATGCTGTTTTCAGAGCTAATTCTGGAAGTCTGTAAAGTTTCAGTGTATTCAAGGTAATACGATCTTGGCATGTACTCTGGTCTTTACCCAGGAAGGAGCCTTGTTCCCCTGTAGCCACAAGTGCTAGCATTCCTTTTGGAAGGATCTTATTTCCAACAAGCCAAAATTTCAAGGTGCTGAGGTTTGCCTAGCTAAAAATGTATATTCATCAATTATTTTTTCTTTGGTTTAACACATTTCCTGGAGGTAAGTAATATGACTACTTTAGTTCTCTGTATTATTTATACATCATACTCATTATTAACCCATAAAGGGTCGATCTGGAGAATTTTCTAATCATCTCATTAACTTACAGAGCAGTTAAACCTTTGTTTCAAAAACTTTTCCTTATCCACACTTCCCCTTATTAGATAGGGACATGCCTGTTAGCACCTTTTTAATCAGATAAAACACAACTCCTAAGCATCAATGACTTTAAGATGAATTAGTTGCTTGAAAGATGCCCCTTGGTATGTTCCAGGAGAAGGAATTTAGTAAAATGGCCTAGGACGATCTGTTCAGTTTAAATAATTTTAACCTTTTTGTATCATGGACCCCTCTTTTGGAAGTCTGGCAAAGCCTATGTTTTTAAATACATAAAACAAAATATATATGATTACTAAGGAAACCCAATTATACTGAAATACAGCTATCATCAAAATACTAAAAGTTCTAAGTTCACAGACCCCCCCCCTCTGAAATCTATCCACAGAACCTCCTGAGGCCTGTAAAACCCAGATTAAAAACCCCTGGTACAGAGTTGTAAACACTCAAAGATGGTGGAATTACAAGAGTATCCACCAGGGAGAAGAGCGCTGACTACCTTTGGGCTACTTATTATGAGTACTTTGTGTTCAAGGTAGGAGTAATGAACTCCTACCCCCATGTAAGTTGGGCAAATGTTTCTTTAAAAGGTACTGAGCACATCCTCAAGGTTTGGTTTTGTGAGGGGACCATGGGCTCAAGCTGTTTCCTCACCACCATGACATAAAAAGCCAAGTTTCAGGTATTCTCCTTGATTCTTGGTTGATGGACCAAAATGGGCAACTTGGGCAAGGGAGCTTTGCTCAACTGAATCAATGTGAACTGACCTCAATATCCATTCTTACTGAATATCCTTCTCCTGCTTTTTTTTTCTAAATCTCCTTTTAACTTTTGACTTACAAATGTCTCATTTGTTCTAATATCCAACCTAAACTACCAAAAGTCTAGCCTGAGTCAAGCCCAGCCCAAAACACTGTGGTTTTTTAATATGTTCATGGGATCCTATGGGTTCTGTACACCTTCTGCATTTTCTGTGGAAGGAAATAAAGATGTCCTCTATCTCATATGCATTTTTTACTTTCAATATTTGTATGGGATCTAGGGACTCATTCACATCTGTAAAAACCTATAAATGAACTATACATAAACTATATTTGGAGATTCCTCAGAATAAACTCTGCGGAAATTTTTGGCCCCCAAGATCAGATCCAGTTCATAACACCTTAGAGCTCTAGGCATTCTGAGCCATGGGTTATATTTTAAAGACCAACATTTTGCTAATATCTCTACAAAACATCTGGTTAGCCTATGTTACTCTTTGCACTTACATAGTATTTCACCAATCTCAAATCAACCATTAAACATTCACATTCACACTATGGGAGAGGAGAACTGGGATCCTCACTCTGTAATTTAGTGCTTACCTCAGAGCTTCTTTGGTCTTCACTGGCAGACCTGTATATGGATTTACAGGCTTGAGAAGCTGAGTTACAGCTGTTTTCCCGGCTGCTATTTGTTTCACAATATATTTTTTCTTCCAGTATCCAGTTTCTTTGTCATGAAGTGATGTATGACTCAAAGATACAGCTGTCTTCTCTACTGCATTCATTTCCCAGTTTGATCTCTTAGGTGAAAAAGAGGCGGAGTAGATTCTGTACCAAATAAAACTGGGGAAAATTTTTTAAAAAAATGTTAAGTTCCCTTTTCCTATTAGTAGTGGCAATCAAGCAAGGAGACCCTGTGACATTCAAAATGATTACTGAGAGCCAAGAACAAGCCCACAGTAATTGAGTCACCTAAGATATTCATCAGGTCATAATTTTAGAGCTAAAAAGGTTCTTAGATATCTTCTGGTCCAACCCCCTCATTTTGTAGGTAAGAAAACTAAGGCCTAAAGAAGTGACTTGCCCAAGGATTTTAACTCAGTTCTTCTTATTCCACATCCAGCACTCTTTCCACTAAATCATAATTAAATCCTCCAATGAATGAGCAAGCATTCATTAAAGTAGGGCTTCTTAAACTTTTTCCACTCACGACCCCTTCAGCACTTCTTAAACTGTAGATAGTGACTCACAGTTTAAGAAGTGCTGCATTAAAGCACCAACAAATACAAAATTTTAAAAGTCTATTTCCTCAAGGAGCTTACATTTGACAAATGAGACATGTTCACATGTAGATATGGGAACACATGCACTAATCAAATATAAAGTAATCCTTGAAGGGAAAAGTAGTACTTGGGGGTACCATGAACGGCCTCCTATAATAGGAATTCTTGACATGAATGGACAGTAGGAATTCCAGGAGGAATAGGGGAATTCTAGCATGGGGGAAAATCAGTGCAAAGACATGGAAATGAGACATGGCACATCATGTAAAAGGAAGATCCAGTAAGTTAGCATGACTGGACTAAGGAGAATGTGGAGTGGAGTGATATCTAAGTAGGCAAGAAAAGTAGAAAGAGACAAAGTTGTGAAGAATTTTAAATGCCAAACAGAAGTTTATATTTGATTCTAGAGAAAATGTGGAGCCACTAGAGCTTACTTAGTAGAGTGGTGACATGCTCAGATCTGTACCTTAGCAAAATCACTTCAGCACTTCAGGAGGAGGGATTGGATGAAGGAAGAGATCCAAAGGAAGAAGACCAAACTGGAAACTATTGCAACTGTCCCAGGAGAGATGAAAGTCAGCCCTAAATAGTAGCTAGGTTTGAATCATACCTCTGACACTCAAAAGCTTCAAACAACTTTCCAAAACTTACTGCCTACCTTAGCAATAAATTGCAATTTACACAGGTAGAAGGAGTTCCAACACTGATGAAATTATAAATCACAGCCTGATTAAAGGCAGAGAAAACGTTAAAAGAAATGGAGACTTTGCGTTACAAAAAAAAAAAGTAACTACAACATGTGGACAACGATAAATTCACAGACCTCACTTTTCTTAGTATTAGTGTTATGGTCTTAGCAATGGATTTTCCTATAATATATCAAGATATAAATTATCACAATATTGAAGGAAAAGGACGGTTGGTTTGTTACTGAAGATGTAAAGGCAAAACGCAGGGGAACTCAACAACAAAAACAAATAAAATCTTTCTGGAGTGAGGGAGGGGAGTACAATTCCTGCTTTATTACTGGACTTTGGAGAAATTTTCTGTGTTTTCACTGAGAACGGAAAATAGTTTAGATTATAATTATTTTTTTAAATGAAGTGCAGTCTTTAAACACTAGAGATGCTCAATAAATGTTTAATTCAGTTAAATCATAAACTGCTCTGTTTTTTTTCTGGTATAGAAACTCTCTCCAACAATTCAAGCAACTCATCTTACCTTAGTCTTCAAAAATTTCCTGCAGTACTGAGAGTCTAAGTGACTTTTCCATGATCCCACAATGCACATTTCAGAAGTAAGATTTAAACCCAGACTGCAAAACTCATCTTCTTATCCCTCTACTCACTTAAAATGATTTCTAAAAACTTAATCTTCTCCCACCTGGCTAAACTCTTGTGGACTTTCATCAGGCTCCCTGGAATCTCATCATCCCACATCACATTAACCCTGAAACTCATACCTCCACAGCACTCGTTGCCTTGGGGTCCCTCTCTCCCTCTGACTGAAGGGTGTATAAAGTAGCCAGTTGAGAGCTCTCCCCAGATTCTCCATTTAAGGAGGGCACCCAGAGCAATCATCTCATCATTTTTCACCCAGATGCACTCCTCTGGACTTTCATTATGCGCCTGAGCCAAGTATCCTACTCTCTCAAAACCTGGCTTTTCAGCTTCCTCTTATGTATTTTCTTCCCCCGTTAGACCATGAGCATCTTGAAGGCAAGGACTGCCTTTTGCTTTGTATTCTCAGTGCTTATCACAGTACCGGCACACAGGAGGCATTTAATGATATTTGTAGACTTACTGGCTATGAAATAGGAAATTATACAGGAAACTACAGTATCAGATCATTGTAATTCCCACAGACTAAAGAAAGTTAATTGATAGGTTCTCATCTCCTGCCAGCCCTCAAAGGTCTAGGAACAAACCCATACAGTGGCAATAGAATCCATTTAATACTGTGGAAATTAGTAAGAAGGAGTTTAGTAGATTACTTGCTCAGAATCTCAGGAAAGAGACTACGTCTATACAGGTGCCAGAGTCACAAGATATTAGTATTTGGCTTTTCTTGGTCCTATGACCTTGAGATCCACAAAAGAGCTCAAAAAAAAAAAGACGACAAAATGACAATAGCACCACAAAAATGACAACAAAATAACAAAAGAAGACAACAAGACAAAATTAATAGGAAAAAGTACATTACACGAGCTCAGGGAGCCTTTTTATTTTTTCTACAATTTCTTTTCTAAAGATGATTGCTTCATGAATCTACTCGGCTATCTGGAATCATCTAAAGTCCTCAAAACACAATGTGTTTAGTTTACCATAATAAAATGTGACATCTTTTACATCTAATCTTTAATCTGCTTCTCATAATCTGGCAGAAACTGAGAATGAAAAGACCTCCTTAAAATTCAACAGCATTCATCTCCATTTGCAAGAATAATTCAAAATTATTTAAAAGTAAATATGTAATTACACCTGAATAAAAATGTGTGCTTAAAGTAATAGAAATTAAAATAATTCAACAAGCCTATCAACTGTGTACTATGGGCCAAGCACTTTGCTAGAGGCTGAGGATACAAAGACAAAAATTGAAAACAGTCCTTACTTACCCTCAAGGAACAATCATTTTGCCACCAAACCAAGTTTTCCATAATACAGTTGTTGTTTTTAAGAGTAAAAAAAAGTGCAACTTTAATCTCTATTTCCTCTACAAAAAGTTTACTCCCATAGGTAGTCGTGATTCTAGGCTCCAGAAAGCTAAGCTAGAAGAGCATAAGTGCTAGAAGTATCTACAACACTTTCAGTATGGTTGTTGTTTAGTCATTTTTCGTGTTGTGTCATGTCCAACTCTTCGTAATACCATCTGGTATTTTCTTGGCAAAGATACTATAGTGGTTTGCCATTTCCTTCTCCAGCACATTTTACAGATGAGGAAATTGAGGCAAACAGGGTTAAGTGACTTGCCCAGGGTCACACAGCCAGCAAGCATCTAAGGCCAAATTTGAACTTAGGAAAAGCAATCTTCCTAACTTCAGACTAGCACTCTATTGCACCACCTAGCTGCCCCCTTGAGTATGGTACTACCAACCAATTACATCTGCTGTTTGACAACCAACCTACCTTAACACAGAAAGGCTCATGATATCTGCTAAGGTCACACTCAATACATAATAAATTTCTGGCCATATAAACAAAACTAAAATGTATGACAATCCTATGTCATCTATAGCAACCTTCTGCTGTGTCAGTGGTAGGGAACAGAGTGCTAAAAGTTATATACATCCTCAGAAAGTTTAAAAATATTCGTTTAACTATTAGTACTCTTAATATGTGACCTTTGTTCAATAACCAATAACTTAATTCTCTACTTGAGGAAATGAATGAAATACATATTAGAATTCTATATATGAAAACAAATGACATGAAGAAGTGGGCTCTAAATGGAAAAATGGACCATGGAGATATAACTTTGATCAACAAACCATGGTGTAAGTATCAAGATCAGGAGAAGAAAAAGCAGAAAGAAACCTCTGCTCACTTAAGTGTTCGTTAGCATTACAGGAGATGTCCTGCATAAAAACTAAACCAAAGAAGTATTTCATATCATTGTCTTCCAAATGTTCCTATTAGCACACTGAACTAATTATATCAAACCCCAGAATATCAAAAGGCCTTCATGGGGAAAAACACCATTATTCAAAAAGGAAGTGGCCCAACTATCCATATCATTCTAAAGGAGAATATCACTGAACAATTGTGCTCATTTCATACGCTCATTGTGAAGCTCACAATATGTGAACCAAGAATTACCAGAAGAACAGGCTGGTTCTCAAAGAAGCAGAGGAACTACAGACAACATTGCTAACATTCACTGGATTATGGAGAAAGCAAGGGAGTTCAAGAAAAACCATCTACTTCTGCTTCACTGATTACACTAAAGCCTTTGACTACGTGGATCACAACAAAATGTGTCAAGTCCTAAAAGACATGGGAATACCAAATCACCTTACTTGTCTCCTGAGGAACTTGTATGCAGGCCAAGAAGTAAGTCAGAACCGAAAATGGAATAACCGATTGTTTTAAGATTAGAAAAGGTGTATGATAAGGCTATGTATTATCATCTTATTTAACTTATATGCAGAGAACATCATGCAAAATACTAGGCTGGATGAATCAAAAGCCAGAATTAAGATTACCAAGAGAAATATCAACAATCTCAGATATGAAGTCCATGGAGTCACAGAGTCAAACAAGACTGAATGACTGAACAACAATGTGGGAAAACTGGAAAGGAGTTTATGGGAAATTAGGTTTAGACCAACATTTTATGCTATATGCTAAAACAGGCTCAAAATGGATTCTTAATTTGAATATAAAAGGTCACACCACAAAAAATGAGGAGAGAATAAATCAAATACCTTTCCCAATTCTGGCAAGAGGGAAAATTCTTAACTAAAGACAGAAGATATCACAAGATAAAAAAACAATTACATGAAAACTGAAAAGCTTTTTTGCACGAACAAAATCAATGCAGAAAAAAAAAGAAAGGAAACAA